AGGGGGGTGGGGTCGCTATCCGTTTCGGGCTCGCAAAGCGTGGCAGGCGTGGCACATCCTCGACACCACAGGGGGCGCGCTCGGGGTGGGGTCGCTATCCGTTTCGGGCTCGCAAGCGTGGCAGCGTGGCACATCCTCGACACCACAAGGGGCGCGCTGGGGGTGGGGTCGCTATCCGTTTCGGGCTCGCAAGCGTGGCAGGCGTGGCACATCCTCGACACCACAGGGGGCGCGCTGGGGGTGGGGTCGCTATCCGTTTCGGGCTCGCAAAGCGTGGCAGGCGTGGCACATCCTCGACACCACAGGGGGCGCGCTGGGGGTGGGGTCGCTATCCGTTTCGGGCTCGTGGCAACATCCTCGCGTGCGCAGGCGTCGGGCTCGCACATCCTCGACACCACAGGGGGCGCGCTGGGGGTGGGGTCGCTATCCGTTTCGGGCTCGCAAAGCGTGGCAGGCGTGGCACATCCTCGACACCACAGGGGGGCGCGCTGGGGGTGGGGTCGCTATCCGTTTCGGGCTCGCAAAGCGTGGCAGGCGTGGCACATCCTCGACACCACAGGGGGCGCGCTGGGGGTGGGGTCGCTATCCGTTTCGGGCTCGCAAAGCGTGGCAGGCGTGGCACATCCTCGACACCACAGGGGGCGCGCTGGGGGTGGGGTCGCTATCCGTTTCGGGCTCGCAAAGCGTGGCAGGCGTGGCACATCCTCGACACCACAGGGGGCGCGCTGGGGGTGGGGTCGCTATCCGTTTCGGGCTCGCAAAGCGTGGCAGGCGTGGCGCATTCTCGACGCGCTGGGGTCGCTATCCGTTTCGGGCTCGCAAAGCGTGGCAGGCGTGGCACATCCTCGACACCACAAGGGGGCGCGCTGGGGGTGGGGTCGCTATCCGTTTCGGGCTCGCAAAGCGTGGCAGCGCATTCTCGACGCGCTGGGGGTGGGGTCGCTATCCGTTTCGGGCTCGCAAAGCGTGGCAGGCTCCCACGGCGTGGCAGGCGTGGCATTTCTTCGACGCCACAGGGGGTGCGCTGGGGGTGGGGGCCCTATGCGTTGCATGCTCCCAGGGCGTGGCAGGCGTGGCATTTCCTCGACGCCACAGGGGGTGCGCTGGGGGTGGGGGCCCTATGCGTTGCAGGTTTCAAGGCGTGGCAGGCGTGGCATGTCCTCGACGCCACAAGGGGATGCTCCAGGAGGTAGGAGGAGGAAGGAGGAGGAGGAGGAGGAGGAGGAGGAGGAGGAGGAGGGAGGAGGAGGAGGAGGCGGAGGAGGAGGAGGAGGAGGAGGAAGAGGAGGAGGAGGAGGAGGAGGAGGAGGAGGAGGTAGAGGAGGAGGAGGAGGAGGAGGAGGAGGAGGAGGAGGAGGAGGAAGAGGAGGAGGAGGAGGAGGAGGAGGAGGAGGAGGACGGGGAGGTGGGGCAGCAGCAGCAGCAGCAAACGCAGCAGCAGCAGCAGCAGCAGCAGCAGCAGCAGCAGCATAAGCAGCAGCAGCAGAAGCAGCAGCAGCAGGAGGACACCGAGGAGGAGAAGGAGGAGCAGCAGCAAAAGCACCGATGGTACACATGGGAAATACAACAAGTATGTGGGGTTCCTCGGTAGCGTAATTTAGGCTTCCGAAGGGGAATGTAAGTCAGATTCCCTATTTTTTTGATAGATTGCCTCCAACATGTCCCCGAGAGAGCATGCAAGGCCTCCAAGATGGCCCCAAAAGAGCCGCAAGAGGGCTCCAATACGGCCGCAAGAGAGCCCCAAAAGCTTTACAAATGGTTCCAAGAAGACTCCTATAATGCATCCAACATGCTCCCACTATGACTGCATGCTGCTACACATCCCCTGATCAAGACAACTCGCCGGGCCATTACTTTTAGATGTGCTCGTGGCTACAGGCGAAGCGTCAATAATTACGTAAACGCTTGCGACGTGATGCGACCGTCCATAAGTACGTCCAAACCCAGACTCATACTGGAAACTCGACGGAGGTAACGGAGGACTGTGCGGGCAACTGCTATATGAGGTGTTGCTTAAAAAGCGCTGGTGCACTCGATCGGCACTTAGCTGTGGGGTACCAACTGAAAGAAAACAGCTTTGACAGTCGATCTGCTAGAGGAACTCCTACTGTTGCCAGCATCGGGACCTACACATCGAACGTGCAAATGTGCAGCACAATTCGGATCCTCGCAAGGGCAATGCGAGAGGAACAATGACGAAGACGCACACACACAAACATATACAACTCTCTCATATGCATGTATGTGCATACGTATATGCATATGCTCATATGCATGTCTGTACGCACGCATGTATGTATGCATGCCTGCCTGCATGCATACACGCATGTATGTATGTACGCGTGTATGCGCATACGTATGTACGTATGTATGTCTGATTGTACGTACGCACCTATGCATGCATATATACAAGCGTGCATGCAGGATGTCTGCACGCGTGTACGCGTGTATGTATGTATATGTATGCATGCATGTATGTAAGTATGAACATGTCTGCACGTCTGTGTATGCATTCATGCAACTATGTAGGTATGCATGTGTGCATATATATATATATAGATGTACGCAAATATGTATGCATGCATGTATGTATGCACCTACATACGTGTGTATGTATGCATGCATGCATGCGTTCATGTATGTATGCATGTATGTATACACGTATGCATTCATATATGTATGTATGTATGTATGTATGTATGTATGTATGTATGTATGTGTGCATGTATGTATGTATATACGTATGCATTCTTGTATGCATTCACGTATGCATGTGTACATATATACATGTAGATGCACACACTTGCAATACAGGTATGTGTGTATGTATGCACACGAGCATGCATGCACGGTGTATGAGCTTATGCATTCACGTATACATGTATTCATGCATGTATGTATGCATGTATATGTGTGAATATTATGTATGTATCTACGTTTGCAGGATTACATACATGTATATTTACTCACATCTACATATATGTGTATATGCATAAATGTACAAGAGCCTGGCCAGGGGGTTCCCCGTTCGAGCCGGCGCCGAAGACGCAATTTGAAGACGCTATTCCCCCAAGGAGCTGCGGTGACCCTGTATTCCGCTGACGCCTGGTGAAGCTCGTGACGCCTCTATTCGGCCTGAAGCCTCTATTCCGTTGACGCCCATTGAAGCTCGTGACACCTCTATCTGCCTGAAGCCTCTATTCGGCCTGAAGCTTGTATTCGGCGCGTGACGCCTCTATTCGGCCTACGAATTGCGACGCACTGGTGGGGTGGCGACCCTAGACGCGCCTATTCGGCCTGAAACCTCTATTCCCCTGACGCCCCTTGAAGCTCGTGAAACCTCTATTCGGCCTGAAGCCTCTGTTGCCCTGACGCTCCTTGAAGCTCGTGAAACCTCTATTCGGCCTGAAGCCTCTATTCCCGTGACGCCCATTGAAGCTCGTGAAGCCTCTATTCGGCCTGAAGCCTCTATTCCCCTGACGCCCATTGAAGCTCGTGAAGCCTCTATTCGGCCTGAAGCCTCTATTCCCCTGACGCCCATTGGAGCTCGTGAAGCTTCTATTCGGCCTGAAGCCTCTATTCCCCTGCCGCCCATGGAAGCACAAAGGTGCCTGGCGTGCTGAACCCTTTCGGTTTTGGTTTTGGCTCTTTTCCCAAAGAACTCACCCTGGGGCTTCGGCCCGTCCCGCCGGCCACCCGAAAAGATTGCCCAGGACCTCAATCCCCCCCAAAATCCTCCAAGACGGCTCAAGATGGCCTCCAAGACTGCCCAAGAGAGTCCAAAATACCTCCAAGGTCGCCCGAGAAGCCTCCAAGACGGCCGAACACGACCCAAGAGGCCTCCAAGAGGTCCTCCAGGAGGGCCCGAAGTGGCCAAAATCATTGATTTCTTTAGGATTTTGAAAGATGTTGGCATTTGCTTCTTCTCGGCATTCCGACGGCTGAAGACGGCCCAAGAGGCCCCCAAGATCGCCCCAAGATCGCCCACGAGGCCTCCAAGATGGCCCCATGACGGTCCAAGAGGCCCCCAAGACGGTCCCAAGAAGGCTCCAAGACGGGCCAAGAGGCCTCCAAGACGCCTAAAACGGCCTCCAAGACTGCCCCGAAGCGCCCCAAGAGGGCACCAAGCCGGTTCAGAAAGGCCCCCAAGACGGCTCCCGACGGCGTCAGACGGGCAAGGAACGGCCTAGGACGGCCAAAGAGGCCCCCGAGAAGCCCCCAAAAGGCCCGAAGAGGCCCTCAAGAGCTCCTGAAGAGGCTCCAAGAGAGCCCAAGATAGCACCAACATGGCCTCCAAGACGGTCCCAGAGATGGCCCAATCGAGCCCAAGAATGCCTCAAGAGGCTCCGAAGAGGCATCTTCCCCCTTCTCTTTTTCCTCCTTCTCCTCCTCTTCCTCTTCCTCCCCCACCGTGTTCCCCGAAGGCTTTCCAAACCGACTCGGGGAACACACGGTCCGATAGCTTGACAGACCTCTGGCCACAACGTTCGGCCACATGGGCGCTTCCGAAAGGGCAGGGGGCGGCGGTGATTCGCCGTAGGCGTGTTCGATAATATAGACGCATCAGCGAGTTGTTTCTGACAATTTTCTTGTGTCGCGGTGCTGGCAGTCGATCGGCGCGGCCGATACCCGTATCCCAGATTGCGTCCTGGTTCATCACATGAAGACACACAGGCACGAGGGAGAGGAGCATGACACAGGCAGGTATGGAGAGGGGGAACCCAGGTCGAATGCGGGGGGGAAAAAGACTGAGGTTCTTGAGATGAGCGACGATGCCCTCCTCCTCCTTCTCCTCCTCCTCCTCCTCCTAGGTCCCCTAACTTCGCGCCTCGCGCCCCGCGAGGCGCGTCGCGCGGCCGATGACTGAGGTGCTCATGGGCACGTCCATGGACCCCTCGGACACCCTCTGCGTTTGCCCTCGTGACGTGTGGCGTGTCTTCCGCACGTGCCCCATGTGGAATGGCACGAGAGAAATATTCAGAGAGAGAGAGAGCCGCCGCCTCGACCCCGTCTTTGCACGCTGTGCCGGACGTCAAGCCTGAATTATCACTCGCGTTCTCCAACTTGGACTTGCACCAGCACAGGCCAATGTAGCCGATGCCAGTTCCGTACGTGAAGTACCCGGCGCCGTGCTCGAAGCACAGGGCCGAGCAGCCGACCTCGGGATGCGGCAGGTGTCGAGGACTCGTGTTCTGTAGGCGAGCGCTGAGATACCCCATGGGAGCCGCCCCCATCCCCTCCTGCCCTTTCCTCCCCCCGTAGATGATTCTTCCCTGTCGCACTCCGAAACGCGTCAGTAGGGCGGGCTGGGCGTTTCGCCTGAGACTTCGTCACCACTTACGATCCTGAAGCTTCGAAGTTGCAGTGATTGCACGGATGGGGGGCGGGTCATTTTCAAAATGTGACTCGCGCCTTCGCGTCGCGCACATTCGCCCTGAAAGCTTGCAAGACTTTCGCGGGTGCAGGGCGGGCCGTTTAAAGCATGTGACTCTCGCCTTAGCACCGCGCACATCCTTTCAAAGAAATTGTAGGAATCTCTCGGGTGGGGGGCGGGCACAAATTTGTCTTACGAGTTCAATCCAGCATCAAGGATTCTTATTGTAGGCGTACCAGGATGGTGTTTTTCGCACAATTAAGGATTGTCATGGCGCAACTGGCACGTTGATTCGCGGCGTTGGAATACCAAGAATGGTGCTCTAGCGCGATTCAGGATCGTCAGGACGCAACAATAACGATGATTCGCGGCGTTGCAATCCAAATAACCGTGTTTTGGCACAGATGATAGTTTTCAGACTGCTGTTTTCCAACGGCGCACTTCCCGCAGTTAAGTCAACTCCTTGTAGTGGCCTTTGAACAGGGAGCTCGGCGAACAAATATATTGCAACATCATTGATGCGTCTTTGATTTACACTGGTCCTTTTCGTGCTTCTTCTCCTCCTCCCTTCCTCAGCCGCTACTTCCCCTGACCTCACCCTCCATTCTTCCCCATCTTCCTCCTCCTCTCGCCCCGCGGTTTTCGTTTTGCACCCGATGAGCTCCAACAATATCTGTACATGCTTCGGACAACTTTTACGCATTGCCGAGGCGCGCGCTTCAATTCCGCGACAGTGCGCTCTGGTGCGGCCTAGATTCGAGTATGAGCCTAAACCTGCCTGCAAACGTGATGCAGCTCATCTGCAGAAGGGCGGAAGGGGGGCGGTCCGCGTGCCCATTGCCAGCCGTTGCACTTGTTCGAGGATGTCAGAAGATTTCGGAACAAGCCAGAAGACACTCGCAAAACCGAAGCAAAGACCAAACGCGAAGGGCAGGGGCAAAAACAACCGGGTCCAGCCCCCGCTGCCATCGAGGCCTCCGAGCCTACCAGAAGCTTCCCAAAACGCCCCGCGTCGTTACAAAACGCCCGAAAACCTTGATCCCTGATCGACGACGGCGCAAATTGCATTAGACAGGCGACTCCGGACACCCAGAATCCACACATTTTGACGTCTCACTTTTGCTTCCACCTACGGGCACGCCCCCGTTTTACTGCTTCCGCCGACGGCGAGGATGCGGCGACGGCGAGGCCCTGTCTGGAACGCGCCTTTCTTGGGGGGGGGGGGCAAAACAGATGTCGATGCCGCCGCTCCCCAGACCTCACTTCTGCAGGGGTGCGTTCTGACCAGATCTCGAAGCGAATCCAGCCGTGGCGACGACGGCAGGGTATCGGTGCTGCTACCGTTGCGCTCTGAGTTCTCCTCCTCGCCCCTTCGTGCGATGGGGTGCAGGGGGGGACGGGGGGCGGCGGCCTGGAGCGGCCCCAGGCCAACGACCGCTGACCAGGAAGGACCAAGGAATGGTGATGATGATGATGATGATGATGATGATGATGATGATGATGGTGATGATGGTGATGATGATGAGGATGAGGAGGAGGAGGAGGAGGGGGAGGGGGATGATGATGACGATGACGATGATGATGATGATGATGATGATGATGATGATGATGATGATGATGATGATGATGATGATAGTGATGAGGATAACTATTATGATGAGGAGGAAGATGATGATGATGATGATGAGGAGGAGGAGGAGGAGGAGGAGGAGGAGATCTCAAGCCCTTCGAGACCGTTTGTGGCTCGGGCTGGGGCGTCAAATACGTTGCTGTACCCCCTGTCGATGACTCGCCTGATAGGCAATCGTGCTGCCGCTACAATATGCCAGCGCTGCTTACACGTAGAGGGAAGGAAGGAAGAGGGGGAGCGACCGACATGGCGACGACAACGGCTGCAGGGACCCACGGGGCGGAGAGAGAGAGAGAGAGAGAGAGAGAAAAAACAACAAATTAAGAAAGGGAAGCAGGCGCACGAGCAACAGGCTGAACAACCCAGCTTTGGAGTTCAGCGCGGGGGCGCGGCCAGGAGACACACCACTTCTTGCCCTTGCCTCATCCCATCTGCCTGCTCGTATTACCGCGAGGAGCTCGATTGAAATTGACGACGGTACCCATGGACTTGAGGGCCTCGGGGATGAGCTGCTCAATTGGGATCCATGTGCCGTTCAACAGGAGCATTTCGTTGGGGACCTCGATCGGACTGACCATGACATGTCTGACTGTCCTGGAAATCCGTGAATTTCTTCTGTAGGTCTTACCCAGCCTCTGCCATTCGCAGAATAAGAATATTGTTTTCCAGCGCGAGCGTAATGCGAGACTTGGTTCAACCCTTGGTCGGTCGTAGGTCTGTACTGTGACTCGCTCCCAGACCCAGGCCGCCACGAGGAACGGAACGCTCTTGGACACCGCGAGGAAGTCTTCTGCAGCTTCGTGGAACCATGCCCTTCCTTGGCGAGACGTCCGTGAGCTTGAAGAGACAGATGACGGCGAGAGGTGAAAAAGTGGCTTGGTCATAGGCCCCAAGAGGTAGTTGCTGGGGTCTTCCCCGCGAGCCTTCGAGTCATCCTGGGCTGCGTTGTTCGTCGCTGCTGCTGCTGGGCTCCTGCGATCCGCCGCGGCTGTGCTCGAGCGGGGTGCGCTCGAGCGCGCGAGCGCGCGCCACGCGCTGGACGGGCAGAGCGCCACCGGTGCTGTTCGTGCCCCTCCCCCCCACCCTTCGTCCGCTTCCGACTCCATCTCATCGTGCTCGTCTCCTTCCCTGGGCTTCTTGGAAAACCTGGCGCGAGAGAGTTTTTGTTTGTTTGTTTGTTTTGTTTGTTTGCGTGGCCTGGCCAGATCAGGGGCAGACCCTACGGCCTCCATCGAGTTGAACGTGGATAGCTGGCCTAAGCTACTCATACAAATGCAAGAAGAGGTGCTCGAGACAGTCGGCTGCGGTGCCGAGCTCCCTTAATCAGATGTGGCGCTTGAAACTTTTTACCGCGGACGCAATGCTCTCGAACCTGCGTTTACCAGATGGGGCAACTCTGTCACGTGAGGCCTTGTCGCGGCGTGCTGCTTAGCTGCTGTACTGTCGCGGATGATGCTGCCGGGTATGGTGCGTTCGTTTGTCGGGGTGCATGCTCGTGCTATTTGCCCGCGCATGCCACTCAGCGTAGATGCTGTATGTGCTGTGAGCTGCTTTTATGTGAGCCACTCCGTGAAACGCTGTTTGTCGACTGCTAGGTCTTCTCTGCGTGTGTAGTGCGCTGCTGCTCCGTCGACCAACAATGTCTCTGCCGTGCTGGCAACGCGCCGAAGGAAAGCTTCGCGGTGCTCGCTAACGTCGAGTAGTTGAAACTGCTCGCTGGGCTTGGGGTCAGAAGTAATGTGGTCAAGACGGCCGTCACCCTGCGCGAGTAAGTCTTCTCCTTGTTCGATGCTGCGAGGATTGGCCAATATCGTGCTGCAGCTGCCATGCCCGCGGATGCGCGGTTACGGGGGCTCTCCCGCCGACTTGCACTTCGCAGCCGACGTCCATCGCGCCTGTAATAGCTGCCCAATACTGTCCATGGAAACCGTTGGCCTTGGAGCGTTCCTGATGCGTCCGAAGTCTGCGAATTTTGAGCTTCGGGAGGAGGGGCCCAGTGCCGAGCTTTTGCAGTGCACTTGGTCCAATTCTGTTTTCGCGCGCCCGCTGTCCCAGGAACATGTGCGTTCGAGTATGGCCTTGCCTTTGCCCGCGATGAACCCGGCTAGCCATTGGAGATCCCGAGGAGCCAGTGCCCCCTTCGCTCTGGCCCGCGGTTCCAAGCCCGAGAGAGCGCGGTTCACGAGGGGCCCCTTGGCGAGATTGACATTGAGCTTCCAGGGGGCGCTCGAGTGCCGAGAGCCGCCAATGCGGAACCAAAAAACTAACGCGTAGCGTCTGCTACCTCTTGTTCGGTTCGACCGTCGGTCCCCGTGCGCTAGGCAATTAGGCTCGCGCGTAGCCCGCCCGACCTCTGACGCTGCTGGCGCGCTCGCCTGCGGCCGCGACGGAAAAGTCTGCCACCTCTTGCCCAGTTCGGTCGTCGAGGAACACGTGGAGGACATGTGCCCTCCAAGATGCGCAGGGTGCGTGGGCGCGCCGGTAACCCCGTCGGCTCCAGCCTGAGATCGGCGCAGCGGACGAGACAGAAGGTGCGCTCCTCCCCCGGCCAGGTAGGTGGCGTTCTCTTGCTTGCTATGTTCTACGATGCTCCCGCCTCCTCCGTGCCGTCGGCGATGGCTGTGTTCTCTGCTGCTGATTCTGCTGCGAGCGCCTCCGCCGCCTCGCCCCTCCCCGTCTCAGGCACCTTGTTCGCAAGGCCACCCTCGATGCCAATCGGCGCAACTTGCCGAACGTCCCCCCTTCTCATCCCACGGTAATCTTGCGTCTAGTGCACTGGGCCATCCATGTATGCAATGCAGCTCGGCAGCGCGCTGCAAAACTGTCTGGGGCAACGCTCGAAAGACCGACGATGTGGCGCCCGTGTCGCCGAGAAAGGCGCCGCTGCCTGGGCGTCGCCAAACGCGACCGCTCTCGCCCTCCAACGTGCAACTTCATTTCGGGGCACGGTCTCTGACGAACTCTTGGTCGTTGCGACGAAAGACGCCATTGGCGCCAGCAGGTGCGGCAGTGCGGCCAGGCGACAGAGAACGCGTTCCAGGCATCGTGGCAGCGAGCTCGATGCGAAACTTCATCCTTCTGCATCCTGCAACTACCATTTGCTTGCGCGGCCATGGCTGTTTCCCTCCTTCAGTGTTTGCAGCCCCCGTGGGCCCAGCAAAGGGCCCCCCCGGTGGGTTTGCCATTCATCTGCCCCCCTCCGCGTTGTATTTGCGTCCTAACGTTGGCGAGGCCATAACGATTCGTTCGCCATCGTGATCATGCTGGGTGCTCCTCGGTAATCTCGCTCCTTGAGCAGGCTGCCGAGAGACGGGTGTGTGCTCCCAGCACTGGCAGGTCGCTGGCAGCTTCTGAAGCGGCTCCTGCGCCTGACGCTCCAGCGCCTCCACATCTCCGAACCCTGCCCCTGCCTTCGGTTTTCTCTCATTTGCCCAGGCAGGATGCGAAAAAAAGGCGCAGCAACTCTGGGGGGCAAGACCGGTCTGGCTGCATTCTCTACAGGTGTCACTTCCACGCTGAGCGAGACATCGTTTCGTAGTCGCCCACCGCAATGGTGACGGCTTCGAGCTTATCAATCGAGGGGCGGTGCGATTAGCCGATCTCTATTCTCACCTCCTCGAGCGTGCAAGGCGCGGCAGACGAGCCTCCTCGATGCTGGTAACTTGGCGCGGTCAGCCAATGAAGACGCGCGAGCTTGCGAGAGTCGCAGAGCACGACGTCGGCGCTGACCAGGGCCTCTGCCTTTGCCGGCGAACATCCTAAACACCTTGCGGGCCGTGTAACAATTCCTCTGTTCCAGTGCTATGCGCAACTCGTCAGTCCTCGTTTCCCTGGCCCCACCTTCCCAGTGCGCGCGAGCTGTGTCTCTGAGTCTGCGGCCAAACTGCCGAACATAGTGAGTCTCTGCACGCGTGGCGTGGTCGGTGAACGCTCGACCTACCCATTCTCGGATATACCTTCGCTGCTCAAGCAGCTGTCCAAGCATCTACGTACTGGTGGACCTTTCTACTGAGAAGTGTGGGGGCTTCTCGAAAACTTCCACGGCTGGCTGGTTTTGTAAATGCATGATCACTGCGTTCATGTCATCTACCTTCCCCTCCACCATGAGACCGTTGTGCCCCTCCTTGACCTCCTTCGTAAATCTATTGGGAGCGGTGAAGAACTTCTGCCTGCTCAGACCCGTCTGCACGCATTCGTATAAACCTTCGCTGTTCGGGCGAGGCGGTCCCTTCGGAAATGGGCTAACTGCGGAGATGATGCGAGCGGTGAGAAAAACAGGATGGTGATCGCGTGGCGCGACCGTCGAATGAAATTGAAACCTTCCAGCCGTCCTGGAATGAACTTTGCAGCGTTCCACTTCGCAGGTCATGGATAGTGGCACAACCACATGGTCAATGTGACCTTCAACTTTCTCGCCCACGAATGACGCACTACTAGCAAAGAGCGTGTTGGCAACACACAGTCCCGAAGCTTCGTGTACCAGCGTGATGGCCCGAGAAGCGGGCTCAGAGGTCCCGCGTCCACAGTTACCAGCAATCTGGTCATCACCTGCAGACAACATCTCGCCATTCATATCAATATAGAGACGGAGAACTTCATGCTTGCTGTCTAGAAGTCCGGTCGTACTCTGCAAACGCGTGGCGATCGAACTCGCGGTCTTGTCGTAAGCGGACTTCCGTCCATACTTAGAAGCAATGGACGAAACATAGAAACTGGTCATAACGAAGGGTTCATCTTGCTTCCGTACGTGTAAGCATGCTGCGCGCTCTTGATATGCTTGGGGGCGGGAATTATGTGCTTGATAGCGTGCTAAGAAAACATTGTTTCTTGAGAAGGACGGTGACTCCGTACGGCGGAATGACGAAATGTCCACACTTGAAACCAAATCGATAACACCTGAACGAATCGATGATCAGCTCAGGTTCGACGGGGTTGGCAAAACTTCTCAGCTGGGTGCCGCAGCGTATGGCGGCGTCGTGCTTGGGACACTTTTCAGCATTGTCGGCGAGCCTGGCATTGCGGGATGCCGCACATGGACAGAACCCGACGAATCGGAGCAAACCTGCAGTCATGGCGCCAGAGGGCGCGCCGCCGCCATGGCTGCTCTGGTGGCGAAATGACGCTAGAGAGTGTGATAGAAACGCTGCTCTGAAGGTGGCAGACTGATCCTCGCAATCTTTCGGGCCACTTCGATGATGATAATGATGATGACGATGATGGAGAAAAAAGATGAGGGCGGAGGAGTAAGGAGGAGAGAGCCGGAGGTTCGGTTCGGTCGTCCTCGAGGGCGCGAGTCAAGCTCACATCTGCCGGGCGAGTGCCACAACCCATGTCCGCGACTGCCAGGGGAGAGGACGGAGATTGATAGGCAACGATCTTGACTGTCTTGAACTTCTGAATGACCGGTCGACCGAGGAAGAACACCAACACACATTGTCTCGTAGGACTTGATCTGTTCAACCTGACCCTCAAGCTATCCCCGCACAGTCTGGAAGAATCCCCTGCTGGACCCCCACTGACCGACGGGCTTGGAACGATCGATCGGGGTGGGCCCCGCCAGTGGGTCCAGACGTAATGCACGGCCACTTCCGATGTGCAGCCTGGCCTTCCTCCGGTCCTGCCTCTCCCCCGCCGGACCGCGTCGTCGATGCGACCCGTGAAGTCGTTGCCGTCCACCTTCACGTCGTTGCCGGGGTAATTCTTGCCGATCTGGAAGCTTGGGCAGGCCTGAGGACGGCTGCGCAGCCGCACAAAGTGCCATGGGTGAGCCAAGCTTATACAATCTTCGGATCGAGAGCGAGACAAAACCGTCATTGAGCTCACAATGTGTATCCAAATTCTCACGCCTCGCGGGACAATGAATTCTTCCCAAACTGATCTCGCAGTGCGACCTTCATGGACACATGCGTGCGGATGCCATCGGATATGCTCGTGCTTTCCAGCGCTTCTAGCGGCGCGCCTGCAAACTGCGATGACATGGATCCTGATAAAGAACTGCTGTTTGCACGCTGGACAATACACCGCCCGGGCCGCCCCAACCTCCCCTCTTCCCTCCCCCGGGTCCCCTCCCGTCTTCCCCCTGCCGCCTTTCCCCCCTTCCCCCTTTCCCCCTTCCCCTCCCCTTGCTCCCGCCCTCTGGCCCCCTTCCCCCGTCCCCCTCAGTGGAAATCTCCAGGACGGGGACACGCCTCGCATCGCCCCCATATCCTCATCACCAGACATGTCTACTTAAGGCGCCGCAGGCCCGCACGTCACCTCCCTCTCTCTCTCTCTCTTCTGCGAAGCCCTCTCGACCTTTAGCCGTTCCAGTCCCCCGAGCCCCCCGCGAAACTGGCTTTACGCGGGGCCCTTTCTTTCTTGGACGGCAAGCCCGTGAGACGGGCACCCAAAGCCGTACGCCCAGCGAGCTTGTGCTTTTGCCTAGCTGCCCCCACGTCCACCGCGACACATTCGGGGGGACTGCACTGGACCTTCTCTGGGCAGGGGCGCCTGGCTTGACTGCGGCCTCCCCCTCAGCGTGCCATGCCCTCTCCTGTGACCTGCGAAGTACGCCTTTTAACCGTGGAGACTCCTGTGAGGTTCCTCTGGAGGCTTGCTGGGGCTCTCCCGGGAGTAAGTCCGTACGCCCTGCCCTGCAAGGCGATGGTTGGGGGATGAAAGGTGCAACGAGGGAGAAATAGAGAGAGAGAGAGAAAGAGGGAGTGAGAGAGACATATCTTATAAACATTCAAAGACCCCTTCTTAGATCCCATATCTCCCACGCGTAGATTTGTTGAATCGCCTCACCTGGAGCTCTCGACCTATTATCCAGGGCTGGCTTTTCATCCTGAGAAGATATATGATGGTTCTGGGGCCCAGAAGGAGCCCCAGACACAGAAAATAACAAAAAAGGCTACGGCCCGATGTTGCCCTGATGAACCCCTCGTTGGACTGCTCCTTGGACCAGCGGTGCCCTGGCCAAACAATGTGCCCGCAATGTGCCCGTCGCTCGCACGCGTTCGCGGAGCTCATCCGCTGGCTCGATCCCGGGCTTCAGCGGCGGAGTATGCGAAGGACCAGAGCTCCCCCCCCCACACACAACCCCCAGTCTCCCTCTTATCCTGGGGTTTGGCGGCTCAGGGGGCGGCTCGAGATTTCTTCCTCGGAGAACATTGAGCGCTGCGCGCTCTGGGGCGATTTGCTGCAAAGAGGTGCTCGGACAGAGACAATTGAGTTGGCACACCCGGAGTGTGTACGAACAAATTGTTACGATGCCCAAAAGCGCGTGTTGCCCAAAACCGAGAGCGGCCGCTGTTGGGCAAGCGACTCTTTGTCTCAGATGGACAGCGCCCGCAGAAATACCGAGAGCGAGTCCCGTTGAATAGGAACTCCTTTCGGTTTTCATCCCCATTGTTCCCGTACACGTTCTGGTGGTGCCGATTGGAGGCGCGGGCGGGCAGCAGAGATCCCAAAGGCGGGATATACAACCCCGTCGCTTGCTGCCCGCGCACGCTGCGCCCAGAGCCACCCACTGCTGTACATCGAGGCGGGCGGCTCCACCCTGCGCCAAACTGGACCAACCGCGCGCGGCTCAGCAACTCACCTGCACCTGGCTGCCGGGCCCGCACCCGGCCGGCACCTGGAAGCTAACGAGTCGGCCATCCCCCGCCTGAACCTGGTACGTCTTCCCGGGGAAGGCGTCGGCGGGCAGCGTCACGGTCAGCGTCTGCGGGGGTGGTGCCTGCTGCACGTACTGCTGCTGCGAGTACTGCGGCGGGTACTGCGCGTACTGCGCCTGCTGCTGCTGCTGCTGCTGCTGCGCGTACTGCGCCTGCAGCTGCTGCTGCTGCAGCTGCTGCTGCAGCTGCTGCTGCTGCAAGGCCGCGGCGTACTGCTCCTGCGTCATGTACTGCTGCATCGTGAGCAATGGGGTGCGGCGGGAGAGCGCTGCGAGCCCTCTCAAGTGCTCTTGCCGAATCTTGATCCAAACTGGCTACGGATTGCGAGGCGACTCGAGTCTGGTGGATTGGCTCGATGCTTCGTCTAATCGTGAGGCCGTGAAATCATAACAAGTGAACTTGTTGTACTTCTTTAGTTTCAGGCCGATCAGTGGGGACAGAGACCTGACGTGGCTACGTAGTTGATTTCTGCATAGCACGCAGTGATGGTTTAACGCCCTCTCATATTCCACACCGCACACGAGGGGCCGTGGTGCCACGGGCACTGGGCTATACATACATATATACACACACGCACTCTAATTACTGTTCTTGTGAAAGCTACCCCGCGCACGGGTCAAGGGGCCATGGGCCCTAGGCCGACAGGCCATGGACAACCGATCCTACTCTTGAAAGCCCTCCACCACCACACACGCCACACACGAAGTGCCACGGCGCCACAGGCCACTGTCCACAAAGCGACTCTGGCCACTGGCACGGGCCAAGGACAACTCGCATCTACCTGTCGAGCACCACAGCGCAATGGGGCCGTGGCCTCGAATGGCTGGGTCTGCATGCGGAAGACTGTGCGTGCACGAGTTGCCACAAGCCCACGGGCCACGAGAGATCGAATCGACTTTCGCAAACCATCCCGCCTACGACTGACCAAAATGCCGCGGTCCACGGGCCTCGGTGTCATGGACCACGGACAACCGAATCCGCTTTGAAGAGCCACATCCACCACCCGAGTGGCCACGGTAGCCTGAGCCTAAGGGACATGGGCCACGGACAACCGAGCAAACTCTTCAAAGTTGCGCCCACTGGCAACGAACAAGTGAATATGTGCTGGAAGGCCGCCACATGCACGAGAAGGCATGGTGCTACGGACGGGATGAACCACATTCTGAAGCCATCCATACACGTGGGGCCACTGGCTCACTGGCCACGAACAGCCAATCTGCTGTTTGAAATTCATCTTACTCATGAAGGGCCGCTGTGCCACGGGGCCAAGGGCTACGGCCAGCAGAACCCTCATCTGCAGACCGTACCCACACGAGAGGCCAATGCACCACTGTGCCGCCAGGCCATGAACAATCAAAACAATTGTTTGAAGCAAATGCTGAGGACCCCGATGCAGCCGTGGGGCCACAGGCTACGGGCAGCCGAACATGTCTTGGACACCCACCATCAAGGAAGGGACACCAAGCAACGGACCACGGGACCACATGAGGCCACATGCTATGTGCAGCCGAATCCGCTTTTGAAAACCAACCCGTGTCCGAGTGTCTGGGGCAATGGGGCACGGGCAACCGAATCCACTTATTAAGCCTGCGGGAACTCTTTTGAAAATCGCTGGATCGGACAGCAAAGCCGGAACGACACTGGCCAATAACGGAAGGGCAGGCAAGACTAGCAAGACGATCCGAGAGGAGAAGACACAGAAACAACAATAGAGGAGAAGGAGGAGGAGAAGGAGGAGGAGGAGGTCCCTTCTCCCCCCCAGCCTCCTCCGGCTTCAGCGACGTGGACTTCGCGTGCACCACGCTCGTGACGCGGGCGCCGGCTGTGGAGGCGGTCGTCGGGGGCCCGCTGGTACTGCCATGGGCCGGCGCTGGCGCTGCGGTGGGTGACCTGCTGGAGGAGGAAGAGGAGAACTCGAGGTTCGAGGTTCGAGGGTTTTTGGGCGCTTCTCCGCCTCCTTGGACCTCTGGGGGGCTCCCCGTCGCCACGGCCAGATCCGCCTCGATATATTCTTGTCGGAGCGTGCTCCTGGATGGGTCCGGGGGTCGACTTCTGACTCCCGAGCCCTGACCCCCTCGCGTTGCGAAACAAATCACGACGGAACATTTTTTTGCCATCTTCGGCCTCTGAGGGCCCTTACCAGGCCCCCTGACCGTCAACAAACGAGTCAGGAAGAAAACCTAGTCCGGCGGCAAGGGTCGAGACCCATGGAGGTCCATGTTGTGGAGATGTCACGACGCCGGAGGTCTGGGGAGGAGGAGGATTGGTGGTGGTGGTGGTGGTGGTGGTGGTGGTGGTGGTGAGGGGGAGGAGGAGGGGAGGAGGAGGAGGAGGAGGAGGAGGAGGAGGAGGAGGAGGAGGAGGAGGAGGGAGGAGGAGGAGGAGGAAGAGGACCCCGATGCTGACCAGTGGTCGTTTCAAAAAAGGGCCGAAGCCCGCTCCTTGGGAGCGGGGCGTTGCAAACTAAAGAGAACCTTTCACGAATTTTGCGAGTGCAGCTTTCCCAGCTCCAGTGGCTGGAGCGCATTCTTTCTTGAGGTTCTGGGAACTGCGCACGGATTCGACGCTGTGTTGCTCCTCCTCCTCCTCCTCCTCCTCCTCCTCCTCCTCCTCCTCCTCCTCCTCCTCCTCCTCCCCCCCCTGCCACCATTTTCAAAACTGGCTTTGACCTCGTGAAGGCTCTGGGGGTACACTTTTAGCTTCCGCTGCCGAATGCTCAGAAACATTTTTTTCCCAACCCTCCTTGTATTGGGTACTCGTTTTGAATAGAGCACTGTGGTATCCACCTTCCGCCCTCTCCTCGTTCTTCTCTCCTGTGTTCGCGGTCTCCTGAGTTCGCGGTCGCCACTTTCGTGGGTTCCTGGGAGGCCCAGCGGAGGTACGTCCTACGCAGATCACTTTGAGGCCTCCCTGTCCCCTGGGGGGGCTGCGATCTGCGCAACTGTCGCCACTTTCGTGGGTTCCTGGGAGGCCCAGCGGAGGTACGTCTACGCAGATCACTTTGAGGCTCCCTGTCCCCTGGGGGGGCTGCGATCTGCGCAACTGTCGCCACTTTCGTGGGTTCCTGGGAGGCCCAGCGGAGGTACGTCCTACGCAGATCACTTTGAGGCCTCCCTGTCCCCTGCGGGGCTGCGATCTGCGCAACTGTCGCCACTTTCGTGGGTTCCTGGGAGGCCCAGCGGAGGTACGTCCTACGCAGATCACTTTGAGGCCTCCCTGTCCCCTGGGGGGCTGCGATCTGCGCAACTGTCGCCACTTTCGTGGGTTCCTGGGAGGCCCAGCGGAGGTACGTCCTACGCAGATCACTTTGAGGCCTCCCTGTCCCCTGCGGGGCTGCGATCTGCGCAACTGTCGCCACTTTCGTGGGTTCCTGGGAGGCCCAGCGGAGGTACGTCCTACGCAGATCACTTTGAGGCCTCCCTGTCCCCTGGGGGGGCTGCGATCTGCGCAACTGTCGCCACTTTCGTGGGTTCCCTCCCGGGAGGCCCAGCGGAGGTACGTCCTACGCAGATCACTTTGAGGCCTCCCTGTCCCCTGCGGGGCTGCGATCTGCGCAACTGTCGCCACTTTCGTGGGTTCCTGGGGGGCCCAGCGGAGGTACGTCTTACGCCTTACGCAGACCACTTTGAGGCCTCCCTGTCCCCTTGGCGCACCTGGCGCGCACCTGGCGCACCTGGCGCGCACCTGGCGCGCACCTGGCGCGCTGGGCGCACCTGACGCGCTGGGCGCACCTGGCGCGCACCTGGCGCACAAGGCGCACCTGTCGCACCTGTCGCACCTGGCGCGCACCTGGCGCGCATCTAGCGCGCTGGGCGCACCTGACGCACCTGACGCGCTGGGCGCACCTGGCGCGCACCTGGCGCACCTGGCGCGCTGGGCGCACCTGGCGCACCTGCCGCACCTGGCGCACCTGGCGCGCCTGGCGCGCACGTGGCGCGCCTGGTGCAACTGGCGCACCTGGCGCACCTGGCGCGCACCTGGCGCACACCTGGCACACCTGGTGCATCTGGCGCACCTGCCACACCTAGCGCATACCTGGCGCACCTGGCGCGCCTGTCGCACCTGTCGCACCTGGCGCACCTGGCGCACCTGGCTTACTTGGCGCGCCTGGCGCAACTGGCGCACCTGGCACACCTGGCGTAACTGGCGCACCTGGCGCTCCAGGCGCGCACCTGGCGCACACGTGGCACACACCTGGCGCAACTGGCGCACCTGGCGCGCGCCTGGCGCGCACCTGGCGCGCACCTGACGCGCTGGGCGCACCTGGCGCACCTGGCGCGCTGGGAGCACCTGGCGCGCACTTGGTGCACCTGGTGCGCTGGGCGCACCTGACGCACCTGGCACATCGGGCGCACCTGGCGCACCTGGCGCGCCTGGCGCGCCTGGCGCAACTGGCGCGCCTGGCGCAACTGGCGCACCTGGCGCACCTGGCGCGCACCTGGCGCACACCTGGCGCACCTGGCGCACCTTGCGCATCTGGCGCACCTGGCGCACCTGGCGCACCTGGAACACCTGGCGCACCTGGCGCACCTGGCGCGCTAGGCGCACACCTGGCGCACACCTGGCGCAGCTGGCGCAGCTGGCACACCTGGCGCGCCTGGCGCACCTGGCGCACCTGGCACACAGGGCGCGCACCTGGCGCACACCTGGCGCACACTTGGCGCACCTGGCGCGCCTTGCGCATCTGGCGCACCTGGCGCGTCTGGCGCGCCTGGCGCACCTGGCGCACCTGGCGCAACTGGCGCACCTGGCGCACCTGGTGCGCACCTGGCGCACACCTGGCGCACACCTGGCGCAACTGGCGCACCTGGCGCGCGCCTGGCGCGAACATGGCGCGCACCTGGCGCACACCTGGCGCGCACCTGACGCGCTGGGCGCACCTGGCGCACACCTGGCGCACTGGGAGCACCTGGCGTGCACCTGGCGTGGCGCGCTAGGCGCACCTGACGCACCTGGCACACCTTGCGCACCTGGCGCACCTGGCGCGCCTGGCGCGCATGGCGCAACTTGCGCGCCTGGCGCAACTGGCGCACCTGGCGCACCTGGCGCGCCTGGCGCGCACCTGGCGCACACCTGGCGCACCTGGCGCACCTTGCGCATCTTGCGCACCTGGAGCACCTGGCACACCTCGCGCACCTGGCGCACCTCGCACCTGGCGCGCTGGGCGCACCTGGCGCACACCTGGCGCACCTGGCTCACTTGGCGCGCCTGGCGCCCCTGGCGCACCTGGCGCGCCTGGCGCGCCTGGCGCACCTGGCGCACCTGGCGCACCTGGCGCGCCTGGCGCCACTGGCGCACCTGGCGCACCTGGCGCGCCTGGCGCGCCTGGCGCACCTGGCGTACCTTTCGCAGCTGGCGCACCTGGCACACCTGGCGCGCTGGGCGCACCTGGCGCACCTGGCACACCTGGCGCACACCTGGCGCGCACCTGGCGCACACTTGGCGCACCTGGCGCGCATGGCGCATCTGGCGCACCTGGCGCGCCTGGCGCGCCTGGCGCACCTGGCGCACGTTGCGCACCTGGCGCGCCTGGCGCACCTGGCGCACCTGGCGCACCTGGCGCACCTGGCGCGCCTGGCGCGCTTGGCTCACCTGGCGCGCATGGGCTTCTGGGAGGCTCAGCGGCGGTACGTCCTACGCAGATCACAATTGTACCATGGCGCCGAAATGTCCTTCGGTATTGAGTGGTCCTGAATACACATGCCACTTGTGTAGAAAAGGGTTGGGTACGTCGCAGGATAATTCCCAACCCTCCTTGTGTTGGGTACTCGTTTTGAATAGAACACTGTTGTATCCACCTCCCGCCCTCTCCTCATTCTTCTCTCCTGTGTTCGCGGTGCCCTGCGGGGCTGCGATCTGCGCAACTGTCGCCACTTCGTGGGCTCCTGGGAGGCCCAGCGGGTACGTCCGACGCAGATCACTTTGAGGCCTCCTGTCCCCTGCAGGGCTGAGATCTGCGCAGCCGTCGCCACTCTCGTGGGTTCCTGGGAGGCCCAGCGGAGGTACGTCCTACGCAGATCACTTTGAAGCCTCCCTGCCCCTGGGGGGGGGGGGCTGCGATCTGCGCAACTGTCGCCACTTTCGTGGGTTCCTGGGAGGCCCAGCGGAGGTACGTCCTACGCAGATAACTTTGAGGCCCCCCTGTCCCTTGGGGGGGGGGGGCTGCGATCTGCTCAACTGTCGCCACTTTCGTGGGTTCTTGGGAGGCCCAGCGGAGGTACGTCCTACGCAGATCACTTTGAGGCCTCCCTGTCCCCTGGGGGGGCTGCGATCTGCTCAACTGTCGCCACTTTCGTGGCTTCCTGGGAGGCCCAGCGGAGGTACGTCCTACGCAGATCACTTTGAGGCCTCCCTGTCCCCTGGGGGGGCTGCGATCTGCGCAACTGTCGCCACTTTCGTGGGTTCCTGGGAGGCCCAGCGGAGGTACACCGTACGCGGATCACTTTGAAGCCTCCCTGTTCCGAGGGGGGGGTGGGGGGCTGCGATCTGCGCAGCTGTCGCCACTTTCGTGGGTTCCTGGGAGGCCCGGCGGAGGTGCGTCCTACGCAGATCACTTTGAGGCCTCCCTGTCCCCTGGGGGGGCTGCGACCTGAGCAACTGCCGCCACTTTCGTGGGTTCCTGGGAGGCCCAGCGGAGGTACGTCCGACGCAAATCAATTTGAGGCCTCCCTGTCCCCTGGAGGGGCTGCGATCTGCGCAACTGTCGCCACTTTCGTGGGTTCCTGGGAGGCCCAGCGGAGGTACGTCCTACGCAAATCACTTTGAAGCCTCCCTGTCCCCTGGGGGGGGGGGGCTGCGATCTGCTCAACTGTCGCCACTTTCGTGGGTTCCTGGGGGCCCAGCGAAGGTACGTCCTACGCAAATCACTTTGAGGCCTCCCTGTCCCCATG